AGCTATGAGTACCCCCCCCCCCCGCCGCAGGCGAAGTACCTACAACCGCTATGCTATATGGCCGCTACGCTAGTTGCTAAGAACCGCTCGCCACTGACTGCGTGAAAGGGGTGATGAAAACACACGAACCGGTGTGCTCAATCCGAGGGAGCTTCTGCCGTTCAAGCGCACTCACTCCCTGCTGTGCCCCCCCCGTAACACAACCCTCCCGCAGAAAAGCGGAGGAACTACGCAACCCTTCAAACTGTGGTGTACCTCGTGCTACCACGTCAACTCCGAGGCTAGCAGATGACACACACCGTCACCGACATCACCCCCCCCACCATCACAGCAACAGGGGTACCCTACGTCGACCACGGCACACTCGTGTAGTCCATCTCAGCTCACCTCGCGCGCGGCTTTCCTCGAAGCACGCGAGGCGTCTTCCGCCTGAGCCTCCGCCACCAGCACACCGACCACCAGCCTGGCTCTGTGGGGGGCGGTGGGGCGGGCATGAAAACACACGAGGCGGCGGGGCAGCACGCTAGCGTGAGCTTGAGGCCCGACAACAAACACAAAAACACAAAAACATCGAAAAAACGTGGAGACAAAGTTTTAGCGCGACGGCCTGGACGTGAAAACTCTGCTGGCAAAGAGGCTGCTCCTTCAGATAGGCTGCATGCTGAAGTACACCTGCTGACCACTCAGAAACCGCCACATTGTTTCGTTCATCCCTCGAACAAACAACACCTCGAGAGCTTGCCTGGTATTCTCGCCGTTTGCTGTGGCGGACCGTCCACCGCGCGCAACAGTTTCTACACAAGCAGAAAAACACAATGCTGCGTCAAGAGGAGACCGCGACTAGACAGCTCCGTAGACAGCCTCTGGGGGGGTAGACCCACCCCCCAACCCCCCATCCCCAAGCACACCTTTTGAGATTTAGCGGGTCGATGGCGCACTCCAGGTCCTTGAACAGCCCCTGGTCCTCGGCCTCAATGGCGTCCGTGAGCCTCGCGCAGCAGGTGAGCACCAGCAGCAGCCGCTCGTCCGGCGTGTGCATGCGGTCCAGAAGGTCCACCAGCTGCTCGGTTTTGGAAACACACGACGGAAATAATTCGTCGACCGACCGACCGACCGACCGACGCGTTAGCAGCTTTGGATTGTTGGCGGTGGGTACCGCTGCCCCCCCCCCCCCCCCCCCCCCCCCCCCCCCCCCCCCCCCCCCNGGTTTGGGCACTAACTATAGCCACCTCCGGGGTTTGAGCGGCTAAACACGCACGCGCACGCTTCGAATCGCACTTTAAAAAAAAAATAGGAACACTTGGCATGCACTGACAAACAAAACGAACAGAGGACGAAAGCCCCACACAGCACAGGGCGAAAAAATGGGCCACACCATACACAAAAAAAACTTAAAAGTCTCAGTGCTGCCTGCACACACACATACCAACTGCCCTTTTTCTCTTTTGTAAGTACAACGCAAGGGCACCAACACGACACACACCCTGCCGGTTCGGCTATAGTGCCGCCCGTGACCCCGGTTCCCGCCTCTGGCTCCCTCCACTCCCCTCTCCATCCCCCCGGCCACAGACCTGGTGGCAGCGAACGCGCTTGTCCTCCAGGAAGCTGTCGAGCTCTTTCATGCGGTCGAGCCTAGGCCGGCTCCCCTCCCCGACGTGGGCCACGAACAGCTCCAGCTCCTCGCGACCGAGCTCGTTGAGGGCCATCAGCTGGGCCGCCACCGGCATCGTGAACCTATGTCCCGCCACCACGGGCGTCGAACAGGTAACAGTAGATGGGAGGGCTGAAAAAAGGGTTGCAGTGACAAATGTCTGCTGAATAACGCGATGGGAAGGCCAAGAAAGGTTGCACCGACACAAACTCTCCTACATAACGAGGTCGCAGGAGCGGGGGGGGGGGGGGGGGG